CCTGAATTTTATTAATATCTTGATTAAATATAAGATAAATATGCTTTGGCGTACTCTTATTTAATTAGCTAAAGTGGAATAATAAGCCGTTAATATTATTTTCAGCTTCATATATTAGATTAGTTATATGATTGATTCTCTTGTTTTTGTCCTTTGGCTATACCTAATTATATTAGTACTAATTCTATTAGGATACTAATAAATAATAGCTTACTTTAGTAGTAAAAGATACCCTATTTGCGTATTCCAAGATTGTGATCCATTAATTAAGCTCCCAGTCTTCAAGTAACGGAATTAATAATAAAAAAGCCTTGGCTAAATATATAGCGAACTCCTTATATGCCAGTTTTTGACTATAATAAAAAACCATATTAGTAAAGAGGTGTGGGTATAAGTAAGCTTTATATACGTATTTAACTATTTTACTATAAATAGCTTAATTTGAATAATTTGAGCCTCCCGATACTCTTCCAAGCTAAGGAACTTCTTTATAGTTAAAGCAGGTATACTTCTTCCAGAGAAGCTACTCTTTATCTCTTCTATTTCACATATATATAGTATAATAGAAATAAGGACCTTATATCGTTTTTCGATAATAGGAGCAGGAGGAATCGTCGATTTACCCTTACTAAAGGCCTTTATATGTGTACCCTGGCCGAGAGTAAAGGCTTTACTCCTTTTCTGGGCCGAACCTAATAAAATTAGTATTAATATAGAAGTTAAATAGATAGATATATACCTTTGCCCTGAGTTTCCTAATGGAAATTACTATGTAATTGCTCTAAACGCTCGAGCTTAGCCTGCTGGTGCCTCTTATATGCTTCTGATTCCAGGATCTCTTCTGAAAGATCTATACCTGGAGGGTAGTAAAAAGGATAGGAATTAGCTGAGATATTAATCCCTTAATCTCGTAATAGGTGGGTAGTAGTATTCTGAAGTTGTATTTGACTAGAAAATAGTGTACCGTCTAATATAATAGTTGGTATAGTAGGAGTAGTAGTAATAGCCGGTATAGCAGGGTTAATTATACTATATAATGGGTACTTAACTATAGAAGGGGGGTATAGTGCCTCCCGTATAAAACAAGAGTTCTATAGACTGATATTATTTATTAGAAACGTATAGGGATAAAATAATAAGGATCTAATTTATAATTAAATATTAGAAGGAGGGTATAGCTAATAAATCTAGTAGTTTAGTAAATGGTAATATAAAGTTAACTAGTAGGATAGAACTATAATATATTAATAATATTTTAACTCCTTAGCCTATATCCCTATAACTTTTTCCCTAAGGAATTTATATATTAGAGACTCGTTTTGGAGGTTATTAATAGTAGTATATTACTAATATATAAAAAGGGATAAATAGAAGAACTATAAGGGATATCCTTTAATACAAGTTAAATTCGGATATATTTTATTTATTCCTAGTATTATTTCTATATAAACTACGGTTTCCTATACTAGGGGCTATAGATAATTAAGTAAGGGACTATAGAAATTAAGGAAGGGAAACTAAATTCCATATAAAAAGAGATATTTTTACTAAATATATCTTGTAATTACTTTAAAAATTCTCAAGAACTATTAATTTAATAGAGCTAGTAGTAAGGAAGAACTTGATCCATACTATAAAGTCCTTATTACTAAAATAATAAGTTAATAGAATAATTATAGGGGGTATGGAAATTAAAGGGGCAAGGACCGATTTTCTGACGAGGTAAATTATATAATCTTTTAATATTAATTACCTATAGCCATATGAATTTGACTTATTAAATAGACTACTATTAACTTCTGTAATTAATTACTTTAGTAAATATTAATGTTTTTAGCTAGTTCTTTCTTCGGGATATATATTAATATGTCCTTATTTAGTCTCTCTGAAGCCGGGTAAACCGACTAATATTTACAGGAGGAATTTCTAGATTATTATCCTCTTCTGCTTTAGCCTCAGATATGTATCTATTATCTATAAACTATTTATACTCTTGACTATTTATAACCCAATTGCCATTTGCCCTATTAAAAGTAATATTATCTATAGTAAATCTAGTATCTTCCGTATTATTTTCAACCTCTATTTCGTTATTAGAGCTAATATAAATAAGATCTTTATCTCTATAGCTAGTATCTCTCCCTTTATTAACGAACTAAATACTATCTTGATTATTATAATTCTTTAGCCTTACCTTTTCTAGTCCTATAGCTACCTCTGGTAATAGATTCCAATTATATATACCCTTGGGTATTAATAAAAGCCCTAGCTTTGAATGAGTATTCTTTGTATTAATTAGGTAATTATTAATTGATTCCCTTAGATATATATATATATTCGGATAGTTCAGATCCCTATTCACATTATATATATACTCCGTAATTAGGAGTATAAAGCCGGTATTCTTGAGCTCTTGCTTATATTACTCTAGTATAATCTCCGGTAAATATATGTCTTTATTATAGCTAGTATATTCTTTATATAGCTTGTTTAGTTTATTAATATTAATAGAAATACCGTAGTCCCTGACCCCTATCTGCTCTGAAAATATATAGTTCTGGAAGAGTTGTCCAGGAACTATATATAGATAATTAGGCTATTTCCTAATTAAATATATATTCTATATCCTTATGAACTCCTTAGTTTACTCTTATATAATAGGCAAATAGACGAAAAGCATAATAATATAGTCGGGTAGAAGCTTGCGAGAGTAAAGCCTTTGAGAGTATAGATACTTGAAAAATATCTTTTATTTATTTAGTATACCCTATATAATATTAGCTAATTAAATAAGTCTATATGGGATTAGTATAGATAAATTACCTTTATAATTTGTCCCTACTATATCTTAATATATTAATTAGCCGTACTAGTCCCGAACTAATAGAGATCTGAGAACTAATATGAATTAATATCTCTTGTCTAGTACGTTACTTTATAGAGGATATAATAGGTATCTGTAACTATAGGTATTTTATACCCTCTATCTAATTAAATATAGAGTGGAATAACCTCCATTTTGTTTACTAAATCAAGGTATTAAACTAGGATAGTAACCTAGAAAGTGGTATAAGTAAGTATATATTAGTATAATATTAATTAGGCCAAAGGAGAATATAGTATAGAGATTTAGGGGTTTTATTACCTAAATTAAGTGTAATTCAAATAACTAGTTCTCTGTAATACTATAGAATTATATAGCCGGAATTACGACTAAGTGAATATATTAGTATAATATTAATTAGGCCAAAGGAGAATATGATATGGAGATTCAGGGGTTTTATTGCCTAAATTAAGTATAATTCAAATAACTAGTTCTCTGTAATACTATAGAATTATATAGCCGGGATTATAACTAAGTAAATATTGGTATTTTCGAGGGGATATATCCATACCAAATTAGGAAATACTACTACTTATAGTATAGCTATTTGAGATTCTAATATAAATCCAAGGTATAAACCGTAAGTAGGTATTAATACCGGTATATATCTTAATCCCATAAAATCGTAGCTAAGTAAACGGATTAGTAGTTATTAAGATAATAATTTTTAAAGTTAAATATATACTGTATTTACCTTGTAATAGCCATTAATTGACCAAACAAAGTTCGGCCCATAAATATTATATTCCTCTCTAGCTGCCTTTATCTCTTCCGAGTAATGTTATATACTTTCTAGATTAATTTCTTATATTATAGAAGCTATTCTATTCCTAGAAAACTTCTGTCTATTCCCTAGGGAGTTGAGATAAGTATATAGAAGCCGGTAGCCATAACTTCTGGTATTACCTTATAGGCCTTTATTTACTATATATTACTTGAGGATATGGCGAAGTTACTCCTTTTCTAGCTTAACTTGCGAATTAAGTATTCGGTATCGAAGGCCCATAGCCCGGCGAGCTTATTATAATAGTTGTAGATTAGGAATATTATATCCTAAGCTCCGGAGGTTGGCAAGTATATTAGTATTAGTTATATGGATATTATAGAATAACCAGGCTATAAGACCCTTTACCTGCGGAGAAGGGCTAAATATTGAATGCTGGGAAGGGGCTTTCCATTCAGAAAGCCTACTATATAGTATTCTAGCTAAAATATCGACGTCAAAATCAAGCTTTAACCTTCTCGCAATCTTATTATATAATAGTTTCTGTCTAATTAAATAAAGAATATAGGCTTAATAGCAGATAATATTAATCTTTGAACGACCTATTATTACGAGATTAATGGTAATAGATTAATAGTATTAGAAATAATAACGTAGGAACAAAAGTATGAATGAAGTATGCCAGATAGCCAGCAGGTGAGGGGGCATATCACGTGCATTTTATTAATTTTCCTACCCTATTGCATTCCTACCACGGAATGCGATAAAACACCATACAGATCGACTATTTTAATTATATTCTACCATATGTATTAGCTAAATTATTGATAATCTCACATTTTTTGTAATATCGTAATTTTGATTTTGCGATTTTCCAAAAAAAATTATAGTTGCCGTAGCGTCCTTAAAGGAGCCCGTAGCAACTCGCATACACTCTTGCTCTCGCTAGGCAGATTCGAAGGCAGACGTTGAGGCAGAGTTCAGCTGCATGAAACGAATTATAGACAGAAGGGCGTGTTCTTTCTCCAAATTCTAGGAACTTTATCGCCGAAACACTCACTCAACTTACACATAGGAATTAAGGTTACGTTATACTTCAGCTTGCTAAGCAGCAAACTTGGGCCTCACCTTCTCTAGAATTTACACCGTAACACCGCGCAACATCGACTCGGACCAGTCACCAAAAAGGTTTTAGCCTGAAATTGCTCTCAGGTCATGATCATCGAGACAGGAGCTCTCTAAAGCGAGTTATCGATGCTTGCCAAGCTATGATTCATGGATCCTGTCTCCGTGGTTGGTGTTGTGGCTGCTGCTGCCCAGTTCGCAACCCTGTGCGTGTCAATTTGCTAGGGCCTTAACGGACTTAAGGATAAGTTTCAGGAGGCGCGCAGCACAGTAACAGGAATCAGGCGGTATTGCAAGACCCTTGAGATTGCCATCGCCAAGATCGTATCGTGGATCCAAATCACGCTAGCTCATGACCCTGAAGCCCAAATCCACATCACGGCTCTGCAATCTGCAATCGAAGATTACAACGAACTGTTGAGAAACATTCAAGATGATGTGGATAAAATTGTAGGCAAGGGAGAAAATGGTGCGAAAATTAGGGTCTGGAGAAAGGCCAAGTTTATTTGGGATGAGGGTTCTATGCACCGACACTTGGAACAGCTTCATTATCTGCAAGGTGCTATTCATTTATTTCTTGGCACAACGCAACTGTCAGTTACCTGCCCAAATGTGTTCCCGTAAGGGAGTGAGCTTATCTGTGTCTAGACCACTTCATCAAACACGTCAAGCCATCAAAAATCTAGCCAATGATGCTGCTTCTATACGTTCAGATTCCAGCTCACGGGCCATCTACAACTATCCTGTTGGCAAACTACCCAGCTCGAGTACGGCAGAGTTTACCTTCAATGAGATTACATCTTCATCGAGGGCTTATCAGAGAGCGGAAGCATTTGCCGCGGCTGGTGGTGACCTTTCCGAAACCAAGACAGTGGAAGATCTCGAAACCGAGACTGCGTGGTTTACCACATGTGAACAGCCGAATGAGGGAAGTGACCGGAACTCAGCTGATGAAGAATCTATCAGGCCACGGAAGATGGAGACCAGTAACGGCATTGACTCGTTACTTCCGGCGATCCAAGGTGGCCTTGAAGATATTGCATTATCACCAAATCAGGAAAGCCGTCCTCCAATTACGACAGTAGCATTTCCGCGCAATGAACGTTTTTGCGGGCGAGAGAAAGAGCTAGCATTAGTACATGGGAATCTGCGACGACCAGCACTCAACGCCCGCAGATGCTGCGTCTTGCATGGTATTGGAGGCGTCGGAAAAACTCAAATCGGTCTGGAGTATACTTACCGATATCGCGAATACTACGAATATATATTTTGGATCCGTGCAGAAGATCCAACGACTCTGTCGATGTCTTATGCGATCATCGCCGAGCAGTTGAAGCTAACTACCTCAACGGCTCCGGAAATCCAAATAGAGCGGGTGAAAGAATGGCTCGAACATCATGGTGAGTAGAAGTTTTTGATTTAGCGGTGGAAGAACTAAGGGGAAACAGGATCTCACTGCCTTCTGGTGTTTGATAATGTCGAAGGTCTCGACTCGCTTCGAAACTTTTTGCCGAAATCGATTGCCTACGAAGGATCAACAATCATAACAACACAAATGAAGAGAGTAGCTAGTGTTTTCCGAGAAGCTGCTCTGCTAGTTGAGGGGTGGAGTCAGACGGAAGGACTGGGCTTTCTCCTTCGATCGGTGGTGACACAGCAGACTACAACAGATGCGGAAAGCAAAGAGTTGATGGAATTGTCAAGGCAACTGGGTGGTTTGCCGTTGGCGATTGCAGATTTAGCTGGTTACGCGGCGATGCAAATGATGAGTTTTCGAGATATTCTAGATTTATGGGCTCAGGCTCCACCATCGCCATGGATAAATTCATCAGATCCAACGTCAATAGCTTTGACTTTCCAGTACGACAAAACCTTAAATATAGGTTTTATGATGGCCTGGGAAGAGCTGCCTGAACAAGCACTTCTTGCCTTACGTGTCATGGCCTTCTTGGACCCAGACGAAATTGCGGAGGAAATGCTGTTTAAGCTGGGAAGTTCAGGGACCTCACCACTTTGGACTGACCTACACAGGTAAGCCTTCTCTCAAAAAATCCCACATGGCCACTAACTAAATGCCTCAAGTTTTCACTATATTCTACAAAAGTTAGGTGAGAGACACTTGATTAAGAGAAACGGAACACCGCATCGCACGATCAGTATACACAGGGTACTATCGAGATCAATCTTGGATCAACTCGACACAGAAAGCAAATCTGCCCAAGCTATTTTCGACAAGGTAATCGAAATGCTCCGTAGCCAGATCCCCACCCACTTCCAGATACGCAGCTCCAGCATCGCGACACTGAGCGAGCTCGACAAGTATTCGCGCCATATCGAACAAACCCGCAGGGGGTTTGGACTGTTGCAAAGAAGGGTGCAGCCCAGTGTCGAATTCGGTGGGTTGCTATGTGACTTTGGCGCTTGCATGGTACGGGGTGGAAATTTTGCAGTTGCGAAAGAGGTTCTTGAGGCGGCGGTTTTGGTTTTTGAGAAAAGCGGTCTGGCTGCCGAGCTGCCTTCGCACCACTCGGTGGAAAGCATCCGGAGACTGATGGAATTTATTGAAGAATGGGGTCCGTTGAACTAGAAAATCAACGTGGTCTGGACATTGGTTGAACTCAAGATGAGCCTCTTCTATTTGCTGAAGGTGGGAGGTGATGTGTGTCGTCGGTCGCTCAATCGCTAGGCGCTGATATGCCCCCAAATCCTTTTCACTTGCCAGTGGCCAGTCGCAAAGGTCTTACCCAAGCTCAGGAAAGCATTATGTGGTGTCTGATAGCATTTTCCTCAGGGATCTCGGGCCTAGTAGAAGAGGAACTTAAGCATAATGTGAGTTGTTAGAGCGGAGACACCTTTATCCTAGCGGGGCTAAACTCCTTTGAGGCCTGTGTGCCTCGGTAAATAAAGATAGCCTACCGTATTCAGCATTGTGAGGCTGAATTAATAGTCACGTGCTCTTTGACAAGAGGGATCCAAAATCTGCTCTAGGAGGAACCCTGTAAGGGAGCAGAAATGGATTCCTGGACAAATTCGGTAAGGAAACTATAGCCGAGGCACACTGGAGGCCAAAATGGGTTCCACATTATGGTGCGCAGGCTGACTCAGGGCGTGCTCAGGCTCTGCTCAGGCTCTACTCAGGTACGCTCACCCTCGGCTCAGGTATGCTCACCCTCAGCTAAGGTTAAAGCAGCAGCTGCTCACGCCCGGAGACTAAAACGGAACGAGCGAGGATGGGATTAGAGTTAAACTTTCGTGGAAGTCTCAGACGATATTTCTTCACATTCGCTTCCAACGCGGTTAGTCAGCATCGCCGCCCTACTCAGGGGCTACTCACCCTCGTCTCACCCTCTACTCAGGCTGCTCAGTCACGTTCCTGCTTGGTGGGCTCGGTAGGTTCAAAAAAGTAGGTCGAGGCTTAGCGTTGGATTTGAGTACCGAACTCTCCGGTAAACTACAACCGGGTCACAAGGGAGCCAAAACAGGCCACTAGGGTGCCAAAACGGATCCCCAGTTCCCCACCTATGATAGTACTCTGGCAAACTCTGGAAGTGTTCAGGAACGTTCGCCCTTGGCTTAGGTTGGAGTAGCGGCTGCTCATGTCCAAAGATTGAAATAGACTTTGGTGGGTTTACTTTTCGTCTGAGATTATAGTGGTAATCCGCCACGAATCCGAACCTGCTTCGCTTCTAACATGGTTAGTCAGCGTCGCCGCTCTGCTCAGGCGCTACTCACCCTCGCCTCACCCTCTGCTCAGGGTGCTCAGTCACGTTCCTGCTCTCTCTTCCATTGGCCAATCATGGTTTGCTTACCATTCGGCTCTGCCATGTGAAAGTTGTCAACTTTACACGATAATGTTCAGGGGGACTAAGTTGGCTCCTATGGGAACCTAAACAGGATCCCCCCAAAAATATACCCTTTTTAATCTTAAGGCAGATTTTTCTTATAACATAGTATTGTCTCGCACTATATCCTAATTCTTTATTCTTTTACATACCTTCTTCTACCAAACTCTTTTCTATCCGCCCCTAAAGTTATATATATATATATTATGTTACGGCATATAACTAGCGACTAGTATGGGCTCTAATAAGCTCAATAAGCAATGATTAGATAATTGCACTAATTTGTTAATAATTGATAATTATTATTCTAGGCAGTAAGGGGCCCGGTAGAATCTGTCCCTCCTGCTTTCTGTTTTAATTAATCTTTATACTAGTTCTTTAAAGAATATAACTAATTTGAGATATATTAAAAAAGTAATAATTTGAGTTATTGCTTTATTAATCTAATGGCTAGCTAACTGCTTTACCTTAGATATAAAGGTTAATTCCCTAATACCTGACCTAGTTACTTTACTAGTAACCCAAGTAAACTAATTACCCTATAGTATTACTATAAGGCATTTACTAACCTTGCTAATGCCTATTATTCCTAATCTCATTTATTAAACTAGCTTTATATTCTTTTTCTGAATAGTAACCTGCTTTATATAAATAGCTATAAGATTTATTACTAGAATTAGATTAGTATAAAAATTAGTATAATTAAGAAAAATGACTTATACTCAAATTCTATAATAAGAAGCGCCTTTATAGACTCTTATAAAGTATATAAAGCTAAAGCTTAGATATATATATCTTATTTATTCTCCTGAACCAAAATCTTTTTTACTAATTAATAAAATAATATCTTTAGAATTAATAAATTAGTATTTCTCTAATATTTTCTGATTTCTTAAAGGGCCTCGGCTATAAATCCAGTTAGTAGATATACTAATATTTTTACTAATTAACTAATTACTAGGTCTAAATCTATATTTTCTTTTCTTTTATATAATAGTAGAAATATAGCCTTTTTTACTAAGTATCTTTCTTAAAGCTTTGCCTATAAGAGCTTTTCTAGAAGTAATATACTTACTATTAGTTTACTTGATTTATATTATAATTAAATAATTAACTAGAGATTATAATTATTATATCTTAATTAGTATAGTAATTAATATAAATTAAGAGATATACTATAAAAGGAATTAATTAAGGAGTTAATTAAGGAGTTAAAGTAATATAATTAAAGGAAAGATATTAGCTAAGGTAAAGTAATAGAAAAAAGTAAGGTAATAGCTTAAAAAAATTTCATATACCTTAAAAGTAAATTATTTTATATTATAAAATTAATTTTATTTTACTTTATCTTATTTACTTTTTAATCTTTTCTTAACTACTTAATTATACTATTATATAACTCTATATTATAACCTATATATTAGTATTCTAATATACTAATTAATTTACTAATCTTTATATAAATTATTTTTATAATATATTTTATAGTAATAGACTATAATTAGTATACTAAATATATTAGTAATTATAAAATATTAGTAATTATTATTAAATTATTTCCAGAGCTTAAAATAAGTCTATACTTATATTATATTAATTTTTATACTAATTATAATATTATAGGATAGTAGCTATATTAATATAATATCTTAACTAGCCTTTTCTATTAGATCTATTCGTATTATTACTTATAAGAGAAAAGTATTAATAAATCTATTTCAAAACCCAAATATTATAAAAATATATAAATATAATAAAGCTCTTATAAAAGACCTTATCTATACTAAGATTAAGAAGGTAAAAGTAATAGATTAAGATATAATTATAGTAGTAAAATATAAGGTAATAAGCTTAATAGTATATAAGAGTACTTTATTATTAAGATAGTAGGAAATAGTATAAGAATCTATTATAAGTATTAAATTAAGAAAGTATTTTTAGAATATTCTTATACTAATCTTTATACTAATTTGGCTTTAGAGAATAATAAGGAAAGAATTAGAAAGTAGTTAAATAATTACTTGGCTATAGTAAATATAATAGCTATAAGATATATAATAGCAGGGTAATATATAAGTAGTTAAGGTAAGTAAACTGCGAAGTAATACTTGTAAGTATAACTAATTCCAAGAATTAATTCTAATAAGAGACTAATTAATATCCCTTCCAAAGCTAGAAGTATTTCCCTATATATTTCCTAGTACTTAGCCAGATATATAAAGCCCTTTACTTAATTAGGAAATCCTATATAATCTATATAATTCCGATTATAAGCTATACCCAAAATAGGAAACTAGATCTATAATATCTAATACCTGTCTATATACTATTATATATACCTATTATATTAATTCCCTCTCTGGGCCCTTATTTCCAAGAGGCCTGGGAAAACTATAAATAGCTTTATAAATATTTCCCTGAAACTTTCCTGGCTACTGGCTTTCCCTAAAGACTCCCTATAATTGCCCTATTATTATATTAGGTAATAGAGTTAAGGATATAGTTTACTAATCCTTCCTAGCTAGTATATAAATCGCCTCTGGTAATTCCCTCTTATAAAGGTAGTATAAATATAGTATATACTATCGGATATAAAGCTTATCCGATCTCCTAATTAGTTCGTAAATCCTAACTTAGCCTCTATTTATAAATAAATTATTATTCTATAGGCCCAAGAGTTTGGAAAAGTTAATCTGATCTTCTGATTTATTTATAAATCCCTTTTTTAGAATTTTCTGGATATTTCTAGTATAGAGCCGGTTCCGAATTTATAATTACTATTTGAGGAAAAGATATTATAAAAAGGCCTCCCTTTTCCTACTAACTAACCTTCCTTTTCCTTAATTATAATATTATACCTAGCTCTTCTTTATTCCTTGCCTTTTTTCTTTAAGCCTTTTTCAAGCTCTTTTAAGCTCCTTTAAGCCTTATTTAAGCTTTATTTAAGTCTTTTTCTAATTCTCTCTTCTACTTCTTTATTTATTAAGATAAATACTTCTCTTAGTACTTATTAGCCTATTACTATCCGTTTGGCTAATACTTCTATATCTTTAATTTGCCTTTACTATCTTTAATATTCTAAGAATATTACTAAGTTTCCCGACCTTACTTATATTAAGAGTAATAATTACTCGGTATATAATTACTACTACTTTAAGAATAAGAAATATAATTTTATAAATTATAAATTCCTTCTTTTATTTCTTATTCTAATACTATCTAAAGTTCCTTAAATATATATAATATAGTTAAACTGCCTTTTTTAAGCCAT